CTTACCAAGTGATAAAAACCAACGGTGTGGATCTGGGAAGAATACTAATGGGTGAGTTTGCAGGGTTATATTACTATCGTTTGTGACGGAAGCTCTGGGCAAACCTGGAAACATTGTTTCCTAGCCATGTTTCCTGAAGATGGGCAAACCAGCAAACATTGCATTGTTTCATTGCAATGTTTCTAGAAGGTGGACAAGCCATGTTTCCCAAAAGTAGTTTAAACCAGGAAACATTGTTTCCTAGCCATGTTTCCCAAAGGTGGACAAACCAGGAAACATTGTTTCCTAGCCATGTTTTCCAAAGGTGGATAAACCAGGAAACTTGTTTCCTATAGCTATGTTTCCCAAAGGTGGATAAACCAGGAAACATTGCTTCCTAGCCATGTTTCCCAAAGGTGGATAAACCAGGAAACATTGTTTCCTAGCCATGTTTTCCAAAGGTGGATAAACCAGGAAACTTGTTTCCTAGCCATGTTTCCCAAAGGTGGATAAACCAGGAAACATTGCTTCCTAGCCATGTTTCCCAAAGGTGGATAAACCAGGAAACTTGTTTCCTAGCCATGTTTTCCAAAGGTGGATAAACCAGGAAACTTGTTTCCTAGCTATGTTTCCCAAAGGTGGATAAACCAGGAAACATTGTTTCCTAGCCATGTTTCCCAAAGGTGGATAAACCAGGAATATACAATTACTTTATGGTTTCCGTGTTTGGATGGCCTGATCCAAACACGCGGGAATGTTGCGAGAGTTAAGAAAAGCGAGCGAAACACGAGCCGAAGGCGAGTGATTTTGCTCGCTTTTCTTAACTCGAGCAACTTTCCCAAGTGTTTGGCTCAGGCCATCCAAATACGGAAACCATAAAGTAATTGTTTTATAAAATAACAACAACACGATAGTCTCCGTGTTTGGATGGCCTGATCCAAACACGGGTTTTGACCAATCAGAACACGCGTTATATACATGTTATTTTATAAACTTGTTTCCTAGCCATGTTTCCTAAAGGTGGATAAACCAGGAAACATTGTTTCCTAGCCATGTTTCCCAAAGTGGACAAACCAGGAAACATTGTTTCCTAGCCATGTTTCCCAAAGGTGGATAAACCAGGAAACATTGTTTCCTAGCTAGGTTTCCCAAAGGTGGACAAACCAGGAAACATTGTTTCCTAGCCATGTTTCCCGACGATCTTACCGTTGTTTGAACTCGATAAAATTATCTGGGACAATCCAAATAGAATCAGAACGAATAAGAACTAGAAAAGAAAACAAAATTTTACATTTTGTGTATCATGCATAAATTATACAATCAGCTAATTACGCATTTAGCTTGCTCTGCTCGGCAAAGCACGTTTGCTAATTCTCATCCAATTTTCATCCAAATTTAACCAAAATTTAATCAATTTGTCCTTGGACAATATCCATTAGTCCAACAAAATTTCGTATTAAGGTGGCTCGATACAGTTTTCAAAAATTCAGGTGTTCAACACTTTGACATGTTCAAACTACGCATTTTTAGGATTTATTCAGCAGATATTGGAGTTTTTATATATTTTGATAACTCTACTTTCAAATTTTATTAGTTTTAGTAACAGATAGTTCGTTGCTATGACGACATACGTGTACGAAATTCACTCCAAAATGGTCTATCGCCTCGTATAGTTGGAAAAGAAGCACGGTGACCCCCAATTTTTTTTCGTGCATTATTTTACTTGGACGAAAAGCTAACAATTAACAAAATATAAAAAAATTCTGTAATGCCATTTTTTGGGAAAATGCGAAAATGTCATATTCTTCGGTAAAATTTTTTTGGCATTACAGAATTTTTTTATTTTTTGTATAATGAAAGTTTTTAGCGGTGCAATGCAGCATGCAAAATTTGAACATAGGTCACCAGACAAAATAAAGAGATATAGCGCATTGTTTTTCTAAAATGGAAAATTCTAATGACGTCAGCAATTGATATAAAACGCTATAGAACACGCGCAATGGCGTGATATGGCGCGAGCAACTGCTCACGTCAGGTCATTTTGGAAGTTCTTTCATTTTGTTAATCAGTTTCCGCGACCTTGCGCGTAAAAATGGTCACCCGGTTTTGAGTTCGCGATTCTTGAGCAGGGTTCTTGTGATAACTATATCGAGCCACCTTAATACGTTTGATATTTTTTAAGTTTTCGTGCTGACAGACATACACAAACTCAAACGCCGATGAAAACGCAACCTGGCTGAAGTAATACACGCTTTCGGAATGTCTTGGCCATTGAGCCTCGTCTTCTTCGTGATTGACACGTGATGTTTTAACTACTATTGCGTACACAAAATTTCCACTGGGCGAGTTTGTTCGCGCGAAGCGAGAAACAGATCTTGACAAAATGATTGGTCAGCGAAATTGGTCAAATTTACCCGGTTAACTCAAAATGTATTTTTGTTTCGTTCCCTGCAGGAACGAAACGGTACTGTATTTGGTTTCGAGCAATTATCACAGAAAAGTGACGTCAGAGATCAAAGTTATCCAATTCTTTGCCAGTATTCTTGCTCAAACGTCAATTACATTTAGAATCGTCCAATGAGATGACCGCTCCTAGCATAAGAAGTTTTTTGGAGGCATGGCGTATAATTCGGAATTATTCGTTAATTATATATCAACCTATGAGAACATGCTAACTTAACCTGAAGTTCAGGCCCTAATTTTAAATAGGGCCTGACACAAAACCTGTCTAGACCGTGGGACGCTCACAGTCACATGTTATTTTTAGACACAGCATGCAATATGATTGACAAGTGTTATAGATTTCGTTACACAAAAAAATGAACATGTCCGCAGAGTGTGCATTTTGCTTTTTAATTAAACTTAAAAATTCAAGGTACTTTTATATAATTAAGAGTCAGTTTCTCTATTTAACCGAACAGCAAACGAAGATTCAATTAGTTCTGTGTACAGCTTGACTGCCAAGCTTTCTCAAGGTCTCATCTTGCTGGACGCGGATATATACCAAGGATATACTTTAACGGGCTAACAACAGCAACAATAAAATTCTCAATCGTACCACGAAGAAGGCGATGTAGCTCAGAAAACAACGCCGGTAGGACCTGATATTAAAAATAAGACTTTTGCCGGCGAAGCCAGTTGGCAGAACATCTTGGCTGTCAACAACAAACTTTCGAATAGATGACTAGTTTGGCTGTTCTTTCAGCGTCGTGTGTCCAAAATTCGTCAAAGATCTTGATAAAGACCTTCAAAATACTATTTGTTTGATTTATTTTCTGCCATAAAGCATAAAAGAAAAGAAATTCGAAGAAATCGATAATGGATTTGTTACGTGGATTTGACCTTTATATTATTATTGTCCCCTTGAGCCCTTCACCGAGCTATTTTTAAAACTGTTGTTTATGTGAACTTGCAACCAATCAAAATCTTAGGGCCTGAACTTCAGGTCAAAATCTACAGGCACGATGATTTATATTTGAAGTATTCAAGCGCCAACAGCGGTATATATTTATTATATAGTTTTCTTTGTTTTTCTTCATTTTAAATACTACAACTGTATTTCTGGACCGCTCGGCCCCTCCGGGTAATGAAAATTTATAGAACCCGCTCGCCTCACAAAATGAACCAACTTCATTGCTCGACATATACAAGTGATCTATGGTCACAACCGCTAATTACAGACGTCTGGTATTTCTATAATTATATTGGAACGAAACATTATTTCTTTTTTAAAGAAATATTTTCTTGTTGTAGTTCATGTCAATAAAAATATCTATGGTATACTGAATGTATGATAGAACAACAAGAACACGGCGAACTGTGAATGTCAGTTTGAGAACTAGGTGTGGAAACAATTCTATTTCTATCATGTATCGAGCAAGAAAATTCCAGTAACTCATTCGAATCCTGACGATGGCTTGGTAACCAAAGTTTAATTAGTTTAATTTTTTCGTAATCAAGGGCCTAAACAATAATACCAACTGTTTTACGGCATGTAAATCCCCCCC